TCAAGTTAAAGTAATAGAGTAAATGTAATACATGTAAAAATGCTATATATATTTTGAACTATTCAATAAAAACCAAGACCAGGCCCACTCTTTAACATAAAAAAAAAAAAAAAAAAAAATTTTTATTAAATTTTTAAACTAAAAAAAAATATTTTATTAGAAAATAATTTTCTCGATTTCAAGATTTTTATTATTACTTTTAACTAAAGTAATATATTTATCATATTTCTTATATTCCTTTGCTCTGGTGAGTAATTTTTTCTAAAGATTTGTGATATTTTTAAAGCTAATCTTTTCAGTAAATACTTCAAGTAATTTGGTTCGAATAGAAAGCAAATTTGAGTGTAAACTAGTCTTAGCAACTTCTTGTTTTGCAACTACTCAAATTTCTTCTATTAGTTGAAACTTGTATAATATAATGGGGTATAAGACAAATTGTACCCATATTTATTAGCAATTTGAACACATGCAAATAGCACTTTGTATTTATTTCTTTTTACTAACTTATATAGCTCAGCTTTGGTACAACTTTTTGATGCAATAATTTTATATAATGCTAACTATGTATAAAGTATATCTTTTTTTAAATTTGATGTTGGCACTTGTTCAGCCTAGTGTTTATGATAGTGAGCTCTATCTATATAGATATCTACTGATCCATATTGGTCTTTAATACCTGCACAAAGTTTTTCAAAAAGATTTTTAAAAATTTCAGAGTTAAAATTGCTATGATAATTATTTTGATCAGCTATAATATTTGCATTATGAATTGTGTCAAGAATATTTTCCTACTCATTTGTATTTGCTCATTTTCTTCCTTGTAAAGAAGGAGGTTTAATAGATAGATCCTATATTAAAAGAGAGTTAGGAACAATTTCACCAAGTTTATTTGTATTACTATTGTATATTACAATAATTGCGCCAAATATAATTAACAAAGGGCCATGCCTTGGTATACAAACAATTCTATGAGATAGTACCTATGTATAATTAGTTGTATGGTTTAAGTAGCAGTAAGATTCATTCAAAAATACTTTAGTTTAACTAGAATACTATTATTACCCTGCAAATTACTAAAATGCTATCTCAAATAATGACCATGAAAGGCTACATTTTCAGCTGACTCATGCAATATATTATAACATTCACTATAGCTATAAAAATATTCTAAATATGTAAAATTCAAAGTAACTACTATTTTGAAAACTTATAACCTTCTTTCTTAAGCTTTTGCTGCAGTACAGGTGTAGAAAAGGGAAACTAGCAAAGTTTACAAATATAACCAAATTGCATTTAACTTTAGCAACATTTGAATTAAGTTCTTTTTTTAGACGACTAAGTAATTTAGATACTGTTAATTGTTTATTTTCACTCTTATTTCCTTTAGCAATTACTTATGCAACTGTAGCCTCACCAATTCCTAGAACTATAGCAACAAGCTTGCATAGTTGTATGTATTCTTGTTGCTTCTGGCCTTGCTGATATTCCAAAAAATATTAGTCAGTATTAAAAATTATCCTTTTTTTGTTAAAAGTTATTCAGCTTTTGTCTCTTTTCAAATTATCCATTTTGATTAAAAAAAAAAAAATCAACCTTAAATTAAAATTATCAATTATGCTTATCTTTTTTTGTAATTTTTAGCTATATATAGATGAATTATCAAATTATAATCAGTAAAGAATTTAAGGTAATGATTTTTGTATATCTACATTTTTGCACTAGCTCATAAGTTAGTATATAATCAAATTATTTAAATTAATAAATATAGTAGAAGTTCTTTAAGTGAGATATATAAGCTAATAGTATTAAAAATATTTAAAGATAGTTGAAGTGAAGAATAGTAAATTATTAAGTTTTGTAATATATAAAGTTAAAATTTAATAATTTCTAAGTTTGCAGTATTAAGAGTTTCATTTACAGATTGTAAAATAATTTTTTATAAAATATTATTAATATAATTTGTAATCTAATAAAGTTCTAAGTCTAACTAGTTGTATTTAAAGTATTTGTTATTTGGTATTCTTTAAACTGTTTTCTAAGAAAATTTGCTTAGAATTTCAAATTATTTGATAAATATTTTTGTAGATTTTAGAAGGTTTAATAGTGTTGTTGGAATTAGGCCCTGTAGGATATTTAGATTGGGTATATTAGAGTTA